AAACGTTTCTTCTTTCCCTAGCTTTACAAAAGAGAGTATCTCCCTGCGGTTGGACTTTTTGTTGTTCCAAGAGATTCAAGATAAGAACTAGTCTTCTTGTTGATCATGCTTGACACTCTTGTCAACAGTTTCTTGCTTGAATCTTTGAATGGTGTTTCGTTTTTGTCTTTCTTCTGTTGCTCATAGTCTTCCATGTTCCATTGCATTACCTGTGACAATGAAATAGGAGCTTTATGCTTTTTAGGTCTCTCCTCCAAAAGACAAAAGTCTTTTTCTTCTTCCTTCTTAGGACTCTCTGTCTCTTTACAAACCGCGACTTCAGGTTCGTGTATTAGCTGATCAGCTTCAAGAACATCTTCTATTCTTGACAGTACCGTGTGAGCCAAGCTTTCAAGAACTCTTGAATAACTCTCCAATATAGCTAACCCTATATCCTGCAATTTTTAACATATTAAGACAGAACACAAACAAGTGAATAATGTTTAATTTTATATAGTTTTTTTTTTTAATTGATTACTTTGTTGAATTGTATCTTGCTGATATCAAGTGTGGATTGAGAGATCCCTGGGTAAACTTGTTTGAGAAGAAACAAGATGGTTCCTGCTCTTTCTTCTAGTAGTTGTCTCTTCTCCATACTAAGAGTAATACTAAATGGAGATGAAGACTTGTTGTTGTCTTTCTGCACTATCTTTCTCTTCCATATCACAACCGAAGCTTCGATTTTGTTCTTTAGTTCTAGAATCTTGTGCTCAGATGATAAATCCATCTCAAGAAGAAACTGCTCTGCATCAAACATGTCTAGTGTTAACATTCTGTAGATTGTGTCTCCAAGACTAGCTCTCCCTTTCTGTATAGACAAAACAGTAAGAAGAAGACATTGATGAATGATTCTTGATAGTAGTTTTCAGAGCAAAGTATTTAGGGTTAGGGTTTATACCTTAGGAAGTGAGTCAATGTAGCTCTCAGGGATCTCCATTTGAGACAAGACTTCAGCGTTTATGGCCATTGCATCTTCAAGAACTTGGCTCACACACTCCTTCTGACTCAGTAGAAACGTTTTAGACGTTTCAGATAAGCCTGTAGATGGAACTTTCACTGTTGGAAGCCACCATTTATCATCATTCCTGGTCGAGTTACTAGTTAAAGATTCAGGAGAATCATTTGTGATGTAATAAAACTCATCCTGATCCTTGAAACTATCAAGACAATCCTGCATAGTTTGTGAACCTTAAGACTTGTTTATGCAAATGCATGAAGCAAATTTTAAGTACATGTGTTTTTGACTTACAGTGAGCATCACATCGAGTTTCTTAAGAGCAGGGATGTTGGAGACAAGATCTGTTCTCTGTCTTGTAGTCATTACCTCAATTGAAGAACCATCTTTGTTTATTTGTTGTGTTGGAGAGAACTCAACTATGTGATCAGTAACAGAGAGAAGCCATCCGATTTCTCTTCTCCACCGTTCTTTTCTATCTTCAGAGATTGGCTCTAAACGCCGTTGCTCTCCAAACGCAGAAGCTGAAAGATTTGTGATTGCGTTTGATAATGCCAATGCTGATGACACACCTTCGCCTCCTCCTGACATGTCTTCTCCTAGAAGCAGTTTCGCAAACTTTTCTTTCATCTGTTCTTTTTCTGTAACAAATGCGTATAAATGAATCAGAAACCCTAACTTAATCCTCAAGAAACCTCAAGATAACTCTCTCTCATTAGTCTTAGCTTTCGACACACGAAACATCAACAGATAATAAGCCTAAAGAGATCTCATTAATCTAAGACAAAAATATGGTCTAATGAAATCTATAATCACAAACCCTAACGTACTGCACAAGAAAATACAAATATTATCTCTCTTGCCTGCTTCTTCTTGTAACTCTTCGTCGGTTGCTTCAGACATCTGAGGGGTCTTGTCTTTAAACAGAGGCGGTAATATTGGCAGGACGCTTAAGGCTGCATTTTTCTTGAAAACAGTTTCATCATCAATGTCTGGATCTTCAACTCTCAAGGCATAATCAGAGTTCCATTTCTTGACTTGTGAGGAATAAGAGTTTTGATCCTTCATGCTCTCGATATAGAACATTCTGGACTTATTGCTTTCTTCTTCTTGCTCACCAGCTCTCACTCTTTCCATGATTTTCTTAAATCTAAGGAGAGGTTCTCTGTGTTTTAAATCTCTCTGTTTTTTATTCTTGAATCAAAGAGGAGTTCTTAGGTGGGAGAGACAGAAATCAAGAAAGACAAGAACAAAACAGAAACAGTTGTTTGATGTTGTTGTAGAGAACAAACTCTTAAAACTAACGAAACCGTGTGGTAATAAAAATAATATACTCAAGTGCATGGCAAATCCAAAATAGCATCTTAATTTTGACTTTTGTTTGATGCTTTCTTTTCTCTGTTGTACCTCATTAAAATTACTAATTAATAACCGATTTGGTGTCCTAAAATTCCATCAGTGGATATATCATTGACAGTTATATAAACAAATTTAAGGATTGAAGTTTTTATTTTAGGAAGAAATGAACAAATTTCCTACCTATATTTTTAAGCTGATGTGTTTTACATGTTGAAAGACAGAAATTCTAACTGTTTTTAAAATTACTAATTATAAGCTGTAAACACAAACGTAAATATTTATTCACTTATCGTGTATTATTTTCAAGTTGTTGTTATAGTTAAGCTTTGCTTATATATTGCGTAGATTTATTTTATAAGTACCCATTTCAATTCAATTTTCGTAGTTGTATGTTAAGTTATTTGAATATATCTCCTAACAAAAATTGAATATATTCAATTCAAGCAAACTCTAACTTTTGGCTTTTAGAACTTGTGATTAATCAGAAACTTCAACTAAAGCCGCAAGATTACTTACTACTTACTACATGCATTTGTCTCCACTATTTATGTTTAAACTATATTTTGGTTTGTTGTTGTCAAGTTTTGGTTGATACTAACTCAGTTGGTCAAGCATAATCAAAAATAAAAAAAAATCATGTAACATCATGCTCCTAGAGGTTTCATATGCTTTCATTGCATAACTTTGTTGTTCACCTTCAATTCTTCAGACCATAGAGGCATAGACCATATAGCTCTACCCACAAGTGCCACAGTGAAACTAGTGGGACTAAATCAGCCAATTACCAATTCAATCAATTCAACAAATTCATATCTTCATGATCAAAGTAACAATATTCAAAGCTTGCAAAACGGTAAGCTTCTTCTGGGGTTATTAGATTGTGTAGACAGATTCTCCAATCACATATGTGAGATGTCTGAGCCATTTAGACTAAAATGTTAACAGTTTAGTACCAAAGTTTGATATTTATCATACTATATTTCTATTTTGGTTTACCTTTTTCACCACATTTAAAACTATTTTAATTTTTGAAAAGACGGTAAGAAAAAAAAGAGAGTATAATATGTTTCTTCTATGAAACATATTTAATAATACGTAATGAAACATCAAATTTTATCATTCATTTTGTTGCCATTCAAAGTTAAGACTAGTAATTTCATCATACTGGAGCTTGATGCATCCATAGAAGTGATAAAACATATTTTTAGAACAACCTGTTCTCAGTTGTAGGATAGTAACACTAATATATTTCTTGCTTGTTGGTTTTAATATCAGATCAATATGTTTTTTTTGGAGTAAGTGTTTATAGTCTTATTTTTTTACAAAAACAAAATCATTAAAACTCCTATCAAATGCAACTAAACCGCTAACAACTTGCTTGATACACAAGAAAATTACCACAACTCTTTGAAACTAAAAACAACTAGAATTTGCAATTCAAAATCAATCAATTAAGAGAGTACACCTTACAAATTACAATCAATCTTAAATCATATGCAATGGAATCAAAGTGGGGGCATAAACGCAGTGACAACAGTGGTAAATTGCAGAACCAACAGTAGTCTTCCAAGTGGCGTTTACTTTCCATAACTAAGAACATTGATTATCTACTCTGCTCCAAAAAACCTAGTTATTATTTTGAGTAATTCAACGAAACTACAATGCTACAAAAGCCTTACTTGAAGTTAGGATTCTTTCTGGCGGACTAATATAGGTCAACAGGATAATAGTGATGCTTTCTTGCAAATTCTTATGTGAACTTTTCAAAATTTTGAAAGTTGCAATTCCCATTGTTATGTTAGTAACAAGCAGGCAATTACAACTGAAAACGGACGCACAATTTGATTTTGTCATTTCAGCAGCTGCTTTCTTCATATTCATTTTAAATTAACTACAATTAAAAAAATAGAGAGAGAGAGAGAGAGAGAGAGAGAGAGAGATGTAGTTTAGTTTTACATGTTGTGTAGTTGTATTTTATAAGTACCCATTTCAATTCAGTTTTATGGTTGTATGCTAAGTTATTTTCATATATTACCTAATTGTTTTCTTTTAAAACTCTAACTTTTTTCTTTAGAAAAGTGATTAATCTTAAACTTCAACCAAAGCTGAAAGATTACTTACTACTCGTATTTGTGTCCACTTTTTATGTTTAAACTCTATTGGTTTGTTGCTCTCAAATTTTAGTTGATGATAACCCAGTGGTCCGAACAAAATAAAAAATAAAAACATTCTATATAACACCATGCTCCTCGAGGTTTCATATGTTTTCATTGCATGTTGTGTAGTTGTATTTTATAAGTACCCATTTCAATTCAGTTTCATGGTTGTATGCTAAGTTATTTTCATATATTTCCTAATTGTTTGCTTTTAAAACTCTAACTTTTTGCTTTAGAAAAGTGATTAATCTTAAACTTCAACCAAAGCTGAAAGATTACTTACTACTCGTATTTGTGTCCACTTTTTATGTTTAAACTCTATTGGTTTGTTGTTCTCAAATTTTAGTTGATAATAACCCAGTCGTCCAAGCAAAATAAAAAATAAAAACATTCCATATAACACCATACTCCTCGAGGTTTCATATGTTTTCATTGCATCAATCATATTTAATAGCATCATTCATCTCAGAGCAAAATTAAAAATAAAAGCATTACAATTTATCCCAAGCTCCTACCGGTTTGACATCCATCCATTGCACAACTTTGTTCCTCACTTTCAAAACTTTGGAACATTTAGAGCTGCCCACAATTGCAACGGTGAAGTTAACTGGATCAAAACAACTGATCACAGATTCCACCAATCCACCAATTGCAACGGTGAAGTTAGCTGTAAGAACCCCGCATGAATTTCACGCCTATAGGTTCTTGTTTACAATGATGGAGAATCAAAGGGATTTCTTGGAGTAGTTTAGTATTTCCACAGGTCTTGATCAAACACGATCGTCATAGACAAACAAACTTGACGCTGAGAGAAGATATGTATTGACGGAATGAGAAAGCAAACGATCTTCAATCTTGCAGTCCACAAGCTGCAAGATTACGTTCCATATATCTTCCCTCAAGGTGGAATGCAGTGACTCTCCCATAGAATTCTTGAACACAATCTCTAATCTGTTTTCTACACCTTCAAAACCGGAAGTCGTCATCTCGCTTGAAGATCTTGAGAAAGAAATCTTGTTCTTACTGCCGGAGTTTGATGAGGAAGTAGAAAGTTTGTCAAGTTCACGGTGGTTAGTGTTTTGGTTTATTCATCTAGGTTTTAGAACTGATTTATAGAGATTAGATTTGATGCCCAAATCTACTTGCGCTGTCTGATCAGATACACCTGTCTAAACAGATGTTTGAGACTGTCAGAGCAAAATTCTGACCGTTAAATGAAAGGGTAGATACTGAAATTATCTATTTAATTCATGACCGATAGATGAAAGAGTTGATACTAAATTATATATTTACTATAAATTTAAGAATCCATGAAGCCTTTCCCTACATTTTATATGTCATGACCGGTAGATGAAATTTTTTGTTTATATATGTTTTTTGTCAAATTACTTTTGGACGATGCAAATACAATTTGTTTTCCCCCAAAAATCATGAAAATTATGCTTGTTCTTTTTCTTAAAAAAACATGATGTTATTTTAAAATTTAAATTTATTTATACCCAATAATCTTAATCTCTTGTTTATATTTTTTTTTGTTAAATATATAAAGATACTATTACCAGATTTTAATATTTTTGACAGAATACAAAGGTTTACCAGAAGAGGTTTAAGCAGAACCATAAATTCTAAACAGAAACTCACCTTTTAGTTATTCACGATTATATCCAAAATTTTCTAAATATGCAGAAAAGTCCTCTCAATTTAGTCTCAAACTTCCATTTGTACACAGTAGATCCTATCAAATGCAAAAGAGCAAATATATACATCCAAAATCTCTAAATGCATCCTAAAATTATAATATGAAAAACTGAAAAAAATATTCAATTTATTTTATACAAAATAATACTTTTTTAAAAAGAAATTTAGTTAAAATTATTTTTTTACATCAAATTTCTTTTTCCAGTTCAGACTATTTACTAGTCTTTATCTTATCCACGATTTTTTATGATCACACTTACTCAATTCACAAGAAAACTTAGATGGATAGTCTAACTCCATTTACCTAGTCTTGCATTCTAAATTCTTTACTTTAACTAGTTTAGAACTTTAGAGGTTCAACCTAATTTACATATACCCAACTTTTTCATCCACATTTTGTTCGATAGATAAAATTCATTTTGTATATTCATGTCTACAAAACACATATCCAATAAATTTTAGTTTAAAATATTCAATAAAATATTAAGTTATAAAGAATATGTATATAGATATAAAAAAATCATTTTTATACAAAATCTTTATCCATATTTTCTGTCCATGATGTACCCGGCTGCCACCTTAAGCAATGGGGGGGGGGGGGGCAACATATCTGTCAGTTTTTTTCTCTATACCACATTAATAAAAATTATGAGATTCAAGAAACTAAAATCACCTTCACTGTGTTTGCAGATGGATAGACCATTGATTCCCCGTACATGGCGGCTGCAGAAGCACCTGAGCTTGCTTGAAGCCTGGCGTGATGCCTGCTCAAACTATCATTGAACCGCCGGTAGAAGAACGTGTCTCAAACTATCATTGTAATCCTCGTTGGTGTAATCCTCGTTGCCCTGCAGCTGTTGTAGATGTGCCATTCTCAGGAGGTACAACAAGTGCCCTGCAAGTAGGACATGTCTGCTGTCGTTCCAGCCAGGATCGAAGACAATGCACGTGGAAGAGATGTCCACATATCAACTTCTTCGCAGTTGTCATTCTTCATGGCATATGATACATGTGGCATCACATCTGCATATTAGAAGGGAATGATATAAGATTTTTGCCTAGTTTAAACGGAAAACATAAATGGAATCTATAAAAAACTTAGGCAGTAAGTTCTTCAGGGGTTGCATCAGGGAACCTATCGTTCATATTGGAAGTGATTTTACGGTAACGAAGGTAATCAGAAACACGAATCTGGAAGTTCCTGAAGGTTTCATAGAGCTCCCTCAACAAGTGCAAAGGCACACCATAGTTCCTAATCAAATATAGCCATGAATGAGTCAAGAAACAAAAAACAAACACTATAATAATAACATACCAAAGAAGCAGCAAAAAAACTTACTCAAAAGAGAAAAAGAGAGAAATCACTGTGAACACATTTAACATTTAACATTTAATGTTTTTTTTTTGTGTGTGAATATATATAGAGCATGAGGAAGCCAAAACTTTTCTGGATATCAGCTGCATCACCTTTGGTATCAGTTGTTATCTCAACTCTTCTTGTATTCCTCATCAGAAACAAGACTCAAGCCATCTCATTTGTAAGAACATCTTAACCAAACTTACTTGTGATATAATCTAAACTGAACTGAGAGAACTCAAAGAATTCAATCTTTGATGCAGATTGGACATCTACCAAAGGGTTTGAATCCACCTTCATCAAACATGTTGTACTTTAGTGGTACTCATCTTGCTCTTGCCATCAAGACTGGTATCATCACAGGGATACTCCTTCTTTAGTGGTACTTTAGTGTTCTTCTTGATATAATTGTGAGTGTTTGTTCTTACGGAAGTGAGTTTATGGTTCTGTAGGATCTTGAGATGGACCAGGGAAGAGGAAACTCGGATAAAAGAAAACAGTGGTACTACTTTAATATGCATCATTCTTGACATGACAGGTAACTACTTCCCTTCTCATCTGAGCCATGTTCTCAAGTAGAAAGTGTCCCTCAATGTAATGTAAAGACAAAAAGTGGCCAATAGAGTAACGAACTCAACATTGAACTTCTTGTTGCAAACATCTTATGTTCCTTTTTTTTCTTTTTCGTCGTAACCTAAACCGCAAACATTGAACTTTGTATCTCCAGAACTCTATACATTTAACCAATTACAACGTTTTACCTATTTTATAATACCCGCCTAATTAATTAATAGATTATATTTTAAAAGTGGAAAAAAAAATATTCCATTTGTTCTTCAGTGCAATGTTGAGTAACTATAACTTTCCTTCCATTTTTATAGCTAAAAATAATCGATTGCCAAAAAAAAGTGGAACAAGTAAAAAGAGTCTGACCTGTAAATATGCCAACCCAATGATTAAAAGAAAACACACAGTTTAGGTTTCAGTTTCAACTCAAGCGTCTTAATTCTACGACAGTGTACATCTTTTTTGTTCTGTAGCAGAACCACAATGCCTCCTTAACTCCTTTCTCTATCTCAGTTCTAGACATGAGTTTTTGTTTCTTTTTTCCTTTCTACATTTTTAAGCATCAACAACCGTCTTTCCTTTGTTATCTGCTTCCCCTGTGGATTCCACTTTCCTCTTCTCCAGAAAATGAAGTCTGTTTCGCAAATTCTACAACCACAATGTTGTTGATACTTTACTATAAGATTTATACTAGATTCCGGTGTAAGCTAGGGATCAATACCTCGAGCTGGGTCTCTAAAGAGTTCTTCATATTTTCCAGCTTAGCCTCTGGGATATTTGCATAGGCACGAGAGTTTTCACCAGCAAGCTCACATGGGGCAGAGGATGATGATGAAGGATGATGTGCCGCTTCTGTTGGAGCTTTCTCTGTACCCGGCTGCGACCTTAAGCAAGGGGGGCCAACATATCTGTCAGTGTTTTTCTCTATATCACATTGGAGGGCGTTAATAAAAGAATAGCATTTAGCTTCTTCAGTTAAGTTTATGAGATTCAAGAAACTAAAATCACCTTTACAAGCATAGAGTGAGAGAACTGAGAAGATCCAATACATACCATGCTACTGTGTTTGCAGATGGATAAACCATTGATTTCCCGTACATGGCAGCTGCAGAAGCAGCTGCTTGAAGCCTGGCGTGGTGCCTGCTCAAACTATCATTGGAAACGCCAGTAGAAGAACGTGTCTCAGATCCCTGAGCACCTGAGCTTGAAGTACCTTGTTGAGGACCTTGGCGTAATCCTCGTTGCCCTGCAGCTGTAGTAGATGTGCCATTCTCAGGAGGTACAACGAGTGCCCTGCAAGTAGGACATGTCTGCTGTCTTTCCAACCAGGATCGAAGACAATGCACATGGAAGAGATGTCCACATATCAACTTCTTCGCAGTTGTCATTTCTTCACGGCATATGATACATGTGGCATCACTTCTGCATATTAGAAGGGAATAATATAAGATTTTTGCCTAGTTTAAGCGGAAAACATAAATGGAATCTATCAAAAACTTACGCAGTAAGTTCTTCGGGAGTTGCATCAGGGAACCTATCGTTCATATTGGAAGTGATTTTACGGTAACGAAGGTAATCAGAAACACGAATCTGGAAGTTCCTGAAGGTTTCATAGAGCTCCCTCAACAAGTGCAAAGGCACTCCATAGTTCCTAATCAAATATAGCCATGAATGAGTCAAGAAACAAAAAAAAAAAGATTCTTCTCCCAAGTCTCAGCATCACTAACGTTCCAACAAGTAGTACATGCCTTTGATTCTGCTTACTAATCGTCATAGCTCAAACAATAAAAAAAAAATTAGAAGGAGAAAAAACTTACATGAAAATGACAAAGAAGAAGCAAATGTACATAGACAAGTGAAGCAAATCACGGATAAGCTCAAGATAGAAAGTATAAACCGGCTTCTTCTCCCACTGACCATCCATAATCATATCCGTTACAAAAAACACATACTTCACAAAAATCGCCACAGTAGTCGTCGCCAAAATCATATACCTATAAAATCCCCCACACATGTGAAATCTCTTTCCTTCCACCTAAAAGATCAACACTAAAACAGCAAAGCAAAAAAAAACAAACTTACTCAAAAGAGAAGAATAGAGAAACCGAAGCCTGCCTAGACCTTATCAAATCCTTCACGGAGCTATACATAAACAAACAATCCACAACCAACAGAAACCCCAAGAACGAAACAATACGAACATGAGCGAGCTTAGTCACACTAGGAGTCGTCTCAATAAACTCAACTCTCTTCTGAGCAAGCCAATGCAAGGCCTTGATCAGCAAAAGCGTAACAACCAGAGGGAGAAACCCGCTGGAGAAGTCTTGACGGAAGATGGTGACGGCGAAGAGAATCTCCATGAGCTCTCTCCAGGCCTGTTCGTTGAGGCGTTCGATCTCGGCCTCGCGGAGGGAGCCGAGGAAGAGGAGCTTGACGAGGTGCCAGAGGGTGAGCATGAGGAGGAGGCACATGTTGAGGAGGAGCATTAGGCTGATTTTGGATGTGGAGAGGTAGACTGTTGCGGGGTAGAATTGGCCTCGGGTTGTGAAGGCGTGGTGGATTATTGTTAGGGTTGAGAGTATGCTGAGGCATGCGTAGGTTCTTAATCGGATCATCTTGAGATCTGTGTGAGAGAATGCAATCGAAGAGATCAAAATTAATCGATCTGATCACGAAATTGAGAAAGTAATCATCACCTGCGGGAGAAATTGGGGGAAGTCAAGGAATCAAATTCGCTGTGACGACGGAAAGCTATAGAAGCGGAGGAGGGAGGAGGTGACGTGAGGAGGCGTTGCGGTGTCTGTTAGGATTTTCCGATTACGAGGAATACGTTTTTTTTTTTTTTTTTTAAGTTTCTCCGCTCATTTTGTAGAATCCCTATTTTACCCCTCTCGGGGACATGTTTGAGAGTTTCGATGTTGTTGGTTGAATTGAATTTGATTTTTTTTTTTTTCATGAAAATGTTAGTTTATGATTCAAATGTTGGATACATTAAACTCAAAAGGTTGTTCTTGAAAACATTAGTTTATGATTCAAATGTTGGATACATTAAACTCGAAAGGTTTTTCTTGGAAACATTAGTTTATGATTCAAATGTTGGATACATTAAACTCAAAAGGTTTTGAAAATGTTTATTGAGTTTACTAGGGGTGGGCACTTTATTCGATACCCGAACTCGCACCCGAACCCGACCCGAAATATCCGAACCGAAATCCGAACCGAAGTAGCAAAATATCCGAATGGGTATTGAATTAGGAGAGTTTGGATATCAGAATCCGAACGGGTATTACCCGAACCCGAACGGGTATCCGAAGATAACCGAACATATGTATATATACCTATTTATTCCTAGTTTATTTATCTCATTTTATTAAAAATATTTATATTAATGTTATATATAATTTAAGATCAGATAATATACATATAATTGTAAAAAATAATAATTTGTTACTCATTTAAAATGCATATTAAGCTTCTTATTTCCTATTTTAAACAAAATTTGCATCCAAAATTCAAAAATAACAACCAAAATAATGAATTTTATTTTCAAAATTATTAATCGTCTAACTTATTAAACATTTTAAAAACAGTTAAGTTAATAGTTAAATTTTAAATACATGAAACTTAAGTAATAAAGAATTTGAAATTTTCTTTCAAAATCTAAATATCCGAACCCGACCCGAAATAACCGAACCCGAACTAAAAATATCCGAACCCGACCCGATATGTAAAACTACCCGAACGGGTTCTATACCCCAATACCGAAATACCCGAAAACCCGAAATAGCCGACCCGAACCCGAACGGGTACCCGAACGCCCACCCCTAGAGTTTACTGTTTACATGGTAATCAATCAAAACCAGAACTTGGATGTATCAAAGGTTTTGTATATGTTTGATTAAGTTCATTTTCTGAAAGTTACAAAACTTTATAAAGCAAATGACACAATAGAACAAACCACATTGTTATCACATACTGATGAACTAGATATACTTTAACATAACATATTGTTATCACATACTAATAAAACGAAACATATTGTTATCACATACTAATGAACTAGGTATCGTTGGTCTCTTTTTCTTAGGCTGATGAAGCTGTTGTTGCCTTGTTCCAGGCTTGGCTTCAGTACCTAATTGTTAAAACCAGTGTTTTCACGCCCGACCCGAAGCCGCGGTCCGACCGCTAAACCCGATGATTCGATAAGTAATTCGGTTTGCATTTTAAGAAATATCCACTAATTAAAAATCCAATAAAACCTGATAAAAACCCTTAAACCCGGTGATCCGGCCATCGGGTTAACCAATGAGTTATTTTTATTTAGCTTTACTAGGTTTTTAACTATTTTATTAAATATTTTTTGTGTACCCAAAATAAGAAGTTAGCTTTTTTAATTTTTAGTTTTTTCATAAAATTATTATTTTTTGTGCTATCGCATATATTCTATATCTTCTTCAATTTTATTTTAAAACTTTTGTTGATTTTGTATGTGGTAAATAATATTTGATTTTAATTTCTAGGTTCTAAATTTTATCATATAAACTTTATTTTTATTCTAATCACATGTTTTTCTTTGATTTTCTTGATTTTACATGTTTATAAATAAATAGTGTTTTTGTTAATCAAATTTATTGATCTTATTTAATTTTGAAAAATCATATATAATATTGACTAAACCATTTATTGATTTTGATGAACATTGCATTATGCCTCTTAAAAAAATATATATTGAATAATGATAATATCTAAAGAAAGATAATACATTTTTGAGATATCTCATCCTACCGGCTCCTGTAGTCTTCCTGCTGATCGTCTTCACACTCCAGTTGTCTATAATACCAAAAGAAAGACAGTTTAATAAAGATAGGGAAAAGAAAGACACAAATGCTCACACATTTTCGATCTCTGCATTCAAATGATTATTACAACTACCCAACAAATCGATTAAACAAACTAGACATTCTCAACATATAAAGTTATATTCCATGCAATGATTACACGCATGTAATAACCAAACAAGTCAAACGAGTTCTACACAACACATATTATACGATAATCTTGTTCAATTTCCTCATTAAAAGTACAACACTTGTTTAATAAGTAATCAGTTCCAACACAATAGATATCAACACCAAACAGCAACAAAACAGCTAACTAAGTATATCCACAATCAAGGAAATTCCTTAAGATCGAGCGGTGTGATTAGAATAAAGAAAGAAGAATCTTCTCACAGGTCCTCTTGCGAGCGGCAGGGTAAGCACAGGCGGAGCAGCGACTCTTCTGGATGTGAAAGCTACGACGACCGCATCTTACACACAGGTGTGACTCTTGTTCCTCCTCTTTCCGAAACTCCATGTTCCCTTTGTCTGCAATTCTCATAAAACACTTCCATCAGAAATGGTTCCACAATAACTACAAGAGACACATGAGATAGGACCAAAATCAATCTTAAACCAAACCAAACTAATTTTTGTTAACTTTGATTAAAATAAAGAATATCTAGATATGGTTAAAGTCTTCTTAGATCCAACCAAACTAAACCGAAACCAAATTTAAACCAAAACGCACACTCTTATATATGAATGTTCTAAAGTTAAAATGAGAAATTGTGTGTATTTCTAGAGCATTCTCTTCAATGAGGATGCTTAAAATAATATTTCAAGGAGCTAATATTAGTATAGTATTATAATTTAATTACATAATCAAATTTACTTTTTTTTTTACCTTCAACCTTTCATAAATGGATACTTCTTAGAAAGAATCTCAACGATTTTGTAAAAAGAATTCTTAAATGATAAGTGACTATTCATCTTCTCTTGTTTTCTTTTTATTTTTATTTTTATCCATGAAATACTTTTAGATAATCATTGAACATGTTCTTATATTTAAGAAAATGAAATATGCATGTTTCAACTCGAATTTTTTTAAAAATATCTAAATTTATTACTTTAACATGTAAATCTAATGTGATTAGCAAAATATTAAATTCTTAGCATAGTATGTTTAAATTCAAACAATCATGATCTTATTATTTAGGTATGATAATGCGCAATAGATTTGGTTAAATTGATAAAATAATTTGGTCATATAGATTAAACAATTTTTCGAGAGACTAGAGCTTGACTGACAACTTTTGCCATTTTCTAATAAATTTGAAATAAAGAATCTACACTAATAATAACTACCACAATAGTTGCAGCTAGGCGATCATGAGATATATACCATCTATTGTTTTTGTCAATGTATAAAAGTGATGAGTTCTCATTTACGCCACTTGGTTGAGTCCGTTGACATGTTGAAATTAATTAAAAATATTTATTTTGTATATATATGTATTGTTTTGCTAATCACATAACTTTAAAAATTACAAACTATTGATTTCTTAAAAGAAAATTATCATGGAAACTTGTATAAAATTAAAAATGAAATTACTCCAAAAAGATTAATATAAATCATTAAGAAAAATATAAAATAAAAAACTTGTAATGTATTACTTACTCGTGATCAGGTTTGTAAAATTTTTTCTCATAAATATTTTCATACCTATAACCCTAGAATCGAGAGTTAGAACGTGGTTTCTATAATACAACAGGGATTTTATAAAGTTCTATTATGGCTTACAGTTATTTGAATGGAAGTCAATAAGAATACTATAGAGATATATAGCCCTTTTTCATATGGTTGAGAGGAAACATGATTTACATGGAATTTGAAGGTACTATGCACATCAAATACCTAGATAATCATCCTGCATAATGTATGCCATTAATAAATCTTGGAAAAACTTTCAATAACTATACAACCTTGAAACCTATATACTCTATCAATTTTTGAATTGTAACTATCATAGAAGAGCTTCTTTGCATCCTCAACAGAACCAGTCGGTTCATACAGCCTTAGTTGCTTGCATAGGATCTGGTCAGTTTTAAACCTCAATTTAAGCAAGCTGACATGAATTGCTCCTGGACTTATGTGATAACCTTTATTCTCAGCCAAATTGATATTCTAACTGAGGAAATATACCAGAAACTCCAAGAATTACTAAGACATAAAAGTGGAAGTATCCGAGATGCAATGCATCATATATCATGGAAATAAGATCAGTGGCGTATTTTTTTAATTTTATATATTATATTGCAATCATCAAGATAACCTATCATTCTATAAGTATCAAATATTTTCCACAATAAGCAAAGGAGTCTATGTAAGACTAACATAATCTAAGTCAAAATCAATTCAAGATTACAAAAATGAAAGCAGATTCGGATCTCAAAAATTATTATCATTATCAGAACCAAGTTCAAAATAGATATTTCTTAATATTATATATTATCTTGCAATCATGGAGATAACCTTCATTCCATAAGTATCAAATATTGTCCACAATAACCAGAGGAGTCTATGTACGACTAACATAAATACGCCTAAGCCAAGATCAAACCAAAATCATATAAAAATGAAAGCAGATTTGAGTTTAGTATCATTATCAGAACGAAGTTCAAAATGGATCATTCTTAATTTTATATATTATATAAATCTCAATCACCGAGATAACATATCATTCGATAAGTATCAAATATTCTCCACAATAAGCAAAGGAGTCTCTATATGAACATATTAATATTCATATTTTAGTTATTTTTTCTTTATAATATGCAAAAGTATTAAAATTAATGTAATTCTCATATTTGTTTTAGTATTGTTAACAATAAAGTAAAAAAAAACTGACAAAAAAATTTAGTAGATATTATAATTAAAAATTTGTTTTCTTAAAAGTTGATTGATTTTTGCTTATTTTTTTGCAGCAATTGTTTGATTTTAGTTTGTTACATAAGACATGGTAAATGACCATGTTGGTTTCGGTTGCATCGGCATGGGAGGAGCAAACAACAATAACATATGTAAATTGGAAGCATATATGCAACGTGAACAAGCAAAAAAAACACAACAAGATTGTGAACCAGTGGAAGAATTTCCAGTTCCTGAAGTAACGTTTAATTTATGATTATATTTTGTCCATTTACTTTGTTATTTCTTTCTACATATCAATTCTAACAAAATCTTTTGTTATTGTGCTAAATGGAGGTGGTAGTATATTATCAACTTAAATTGGATTCCACTTCAGTTGGACTCCTACAAATAACCGGCTTCCACAGATAATTATAACACAAACAGATAATTATAGCACAAACAGAAGATATCAAGTATTTATTTCTACCAAAAGGTATATCAAAACCTTGTTTATATATAATCTATTAAAACAAAAGTACAAATATAAACAAACCATTACACTTGCCCAATATTTAAAATCCAATTTTACTGAAAATTAAATAAATATATATTTAAGTAATCATTGTCAATTCCTATTTATTGCTAAATCAAATTTACCTAAATTTTTGTGATTAACATATTTCCTAAAATAATTTCGCTAAATTTTAGGAAAATTCAAGTTTAAAACGTTTTTAATAATATAATATAATATTTCCCAAGTATCATATAAACTCCCTAAATTTAGGTTGTAAGGTTTAAATTATATGTTTTTTTAAAAAATTTAAAAATACATGTTTAACCATTACCATTAATTATTTTAAATAATAAAATCTATCAACGTTAAGGTTTAACTATTCTTGAATTGCTCGTAGAATAATATGGATTGTTTATGATCGAATATTCCTTTTAATCTATCTAAATGTTTTCTAAAATATATATATATATATATATATATATATATATATATATATTGATTAATTATGGATTATCCCCAACATTTTCCAACTGTGTACATATTTTATTTATGAATTGGACTGATTTTAGTAATGTCTTTAGCCTTCTAGAGTTTGATAGAATTGGGGAATCATTTTTTTCTAAAAAAATCGTTCCTTTTGTTAGGAGATTAAGGTTTGAATTTGGTGTTTAACGATTAGATCCACGACTACGTTTTCTTGTTGTTAGTAAAACTATTTTCCTCCTCACATAGTTAATCTTTTTAGTTTTTTACACATGGATTTTCTTTAATATTGCTTTGTTTGTCTTCTTCCAATTACAAGGAGGAGGTTATGGGTCTTTTCCATAAGACCATGTTCACAAAATATTGTCCACATAATCTAGTCCACTGTATACTCAAGCTTCATCCTCAAAATCCGTCCACAAAATCTTGCCCACGAAACGTTTTGTAAGATTAAAAATATTGTAGGCACTTTTTTATTTTAATAAACAAATAAGCAGATAGTTATAGGATTGAAAAAGTTGTGTAAACAAATTCGGTTGCATGTTATCTTTTAACCATCTGTATTCAACATGTTTGGCCATCTACAAGTAGATCACACGGTGAATGAGACTGTTAATACTGTTGAAAGTAAGACAAGGAAGAAAGGACAGAGGACAATGGTGGTTGGGCTGGTTGGGATGATGATAACGATGATAAAGATGTGGATATTATTTGTAATAATATCTCCATCTATGATTTCCTTGCGCTCTGTGCTCATTCACGGATACGAACATTTATGTAGTAACTAAATTGTAACAATTGATAAACATTAAAAAATTTGCTCAAAAAAGGATAAATATTAAAAAAGAAAAGAAACAATTGATAATATATTTTCTGTTTTTATCAGTTCTAAGTTGTTGTGTAATTTATATGTATAATATAAAATATATTATGTATCATTATGTTCCCATCTCAATTAGATATATGATTACTATTTTTATTATTTCAAATATTTCTTTTTAATATGTTGAATTACATCTATTAAATTAACAAAAGATTTTTATGATCTTAAAATTGGCTTGTTATTTTCTTAAATTCATACAGTTCAGTTCATCCTCTTATATTTATAAATAATTGTATTTTTGTATAAATTGGTATATATTTGTTTAAGGAAAAAAATGAAACATAAATATTAAATCGGAATTGCATTAATAAACATAATTTTTAATATATTGAAAATTCATACACACTAAATCATAATAATTTTTTTATTTGATTGGTCATATTAAGAATGGTTGGTTATTCATATTTTAGTATACTAGTTTGTGTCAATTTTATTGAAATGATCACAAGTTTTTGTTACAATTAACCTAAAATAAGAACAAAAAAGAACATCTTGTTAATCACATTTGTTTACGTTGCTAAATATTTTTTGTAAGATTATACATAGTTTGATATATGTTGCTTTCAATACAAAGTAAATTTTTCCCTTAATTTTTAAAAACAAACTGAAGTGTTGAAATTTGTTTTCTATAAAAATTCTAATCATCTAATCAAAACATATATTGATAATACGAAAGCAAGTTTATCTAGTTGCAGCCTCACATTATTAAATATATATTTGACTTTAGAATAATCATAAAAATAA